AAACCACCCTACAGGGCTTCTATGGCTGTAAATATTTACCAGATCAAATTGCATCATCTTTCCCTGTTAAAATAGCTAGTGGGTTCAAAACTCCAACTTTCTGGTTAGCAGCCAAATGCCATAAACATAGAGCCACCAGAGCTCTTCAATAAGACAAGTATTCTCAATTAGATCAGATGAGAAATGCAGCATGAGGTTTCCAGGAAAACACTAAGTGCTAAAATCTGTTAAAACTTGTTAAAAAAAAAAAAACACCAAAAACCTACACATCTGACAAATTATTTTATTTCTCAAATATTTTGTTACTGTTTGCTTTCAAGTCAGAGCCAACCTATAGCTCATGCTCCAGTGGGTTTTCAGAGGCAGTAAATGGTAGAGGAAGAGTTGGCCTACTCTTCTGCAGCAGAGCACCTACTAGCTTCAAACTGTGTGCCTCTGGGACTGCAGTGCAGCTTCTTTCCACTAGGCCACCAGAGCTCCCTTAAGTATTTTGTTGTTGTTAGGTGCCATCCAGTTGAGTAAGACTCAGAACGACCTTATGAACAGTCAACCTGAATCTTTCCCTATTCTGTGCCATCTTCATTATCTCTGAAGCACTCAAGCCCATTCCTGAAGTCACTGTGTCAATCCATCTCATAGGGGTCATACTCTTCCTTTGCTGGCCCACCATCTTTCCAAGCATGATGTCCCTCTCCAATGAACAGCCTTGCCCTGCTACAAGTCCAAAGGATCAAAGACAAAGTCTCGTCATCTTTGCCTCCAAGGTGCACTCTGGCTGTACCCTCTCCAAAACATGTTTGTTCTCTTGGCAGTCCATGGAACATTCAGTACTTTTCTTCAGCACCACAACTCAAAGGCATCAATTTTTCTGTCATCCTTTTTCACTGTCCAACTCTCTGATGCTTAACAGGTGATTGAGAAGACAATGGCCTGAAATAGGTGCATCTCAGTCTTCAAATTGACATCACTGCACTTCAGCACTCAGAGAGGTATCTGACAGCAGACTTCCCAATGTAGTATGTCTCCTGTTTTCCTGACTGTTGGTACAAGGGGTGTTGACTGATCCAAGGAAGATTAAATCATTGACAGTTTCAATCCTCTACATCTATCATAATGTTCACTGTTGATCTTGTGGTGGGGACCTTTGTTTTCTTGATGTTGCAATGTAATCCACACAGAAAACTGTGGTCCTTCAAGTGTCTCAAAAGTCCTCACTTTTTTACTAGCAAGGCTGTGTCATCTGCGTAACACAGGTTACTGATGAGTCCTCTGATCCTCATGCCACATTCTACTTCATAGAGTCCATCCAGCTTCTCCAATTATTTGCTCAGCATACTGACTGAACAGGTATGGAGAAAGAATACAACTCGGACACACTCCTTTATTTTAACCCACACAGTGTTTCCTTGCTCTGTTTGCACAAAAGCCTTTTGGTATAGCTACAAGTTTTGCATGAGCACAATTAAGTGTTCAATGTTAGTCATAATTTGTTATGATCTATACAGTCAAATGCCTTTGCATAGTCAATAAAGCACAAACAGACATTCTTCTAGGGTAAAAAGAGCAAGGGCCACGTGGAGGCTGTCATATCTAACCTTTATTAACTTCACAAAGAGTAATTGTCCCCATCTACAACATCAATACACCAAAACCAATTCCCAAGAGGTCTGACAATCCCCCCCACCACCACCCACACACCCACACCCACACCCACACACACACACACACACACACTCTCTCTCTCTCTCTCTCTCCTGTACCTCTTTCAACTCATCTCAACACCAATTTGACAGCTTTCCTGGGTCCAAAAAGCCAATGCGATAACTAACAAAACACAAAGATCTATACTGAGGAAGTTAAAAGGTTAGAATCCAGATAAGTAACACAGAATACAGTCAAGACAGCTCCCAAAATGTGCATACAAGCACCTCAGCCTCAAACCTTGCAGGTTTAGGCCAGTCATTGTTCCCAAGTTTCCAGTCCTGCCAATAGTGGGTTCCCATCCCACTGTCCAACAAAGTTCGCAGTCTTGTCAATAATGGCTCCCCTCCCCCATCCCCCCAAGGTCCCATCTCACATCAGGTCTCCAGTTCAGCCATAGGCATTGTTGACATAGTTGTACCTGGAACAAGAACAGTGTTCTACATTCTCTTGCTTCCTCTTCAATAGGACCAGGAAATCGGTCTGTGTGTCTATTGTTGTTTGTTGAGTACCAAAGAGTCGGAATCAACTCAGAGCTGACCCTTCAGCAGGTTTTCAGAGGAAGTTAATACACGGTAGGAGACTAATCAACCTTCTCCCATGGAGTGGCAGGTGGCTTTGAACTGTGCGCCTTCTAGATTGCAGTGCAGCTTCTTGCTGCTAGGCCACCAGAGATCCCTGTCTGTGCATCTAGAGCTATTCAATTTATCGGCTAGACTATCCAATCTCCTTGTGGATTGTTGTAAATGGCCAGTCCTCTGATGGAATGGTAGACAGCCAATTCCCGTGTGGATAGGCTAACACATCCCATTCACATATTCCGGTCCATCTACATAGCAAAGTCAAACGATGGCTAGGAAAAATCATACAGAAAAATAACTCTACATTAGGTATTCTTTACTTTCAGCCAGGATGCATCTGACATCAGCAATAATATCCCTGGTGTCAGCCTCTTCTAAATTCAGCTTGAACTTCTGGCAGTTTCCTATGTATGTACTGTTCTAGGTGTTTCTGAAAAATCTTCAGCAATATTTTGCTTGCATGTGATATTAATGGTACTGTTCGATAATTTTCACATTCTGTTGGATTACCTTTTTTTGAGAATGGGGATAACTAATTTATTCATTTGCCTTTATGGCAGCTGTTGTTGTTGCTAGGTAGCACTGTGCCGACTACGACTCATCAAGATCTTATGAAAAAACAATCAAAACTATGCCCTATCTTCTACTATTCTTATGATCACCTCCTAGGCTCAAACCCACTGTTACTGTGTCAACTAAATTCATTAAAGGTCCATCTTTCACTGACTTTCTACCTTTTGAACATGTCTTCTTTCAAGGTCTAGATCCTTCTGACAACATGCCCAAAGTATGTTAAATCCGCAATGAGCACAATTAAGTGTTCTTATGCCCATTCTTCTCAATTGTATCCATGATTTATTATGATTGATTCACACACGTTTTACAAAGTAAAAGCATTCAACTATTGATTATAGTAAATTAAGGATAAGAGTGTGGAAATTTTCAAACAATATCACATGCAAGCAAGATCCAGTTGAAAATTATCCAAAAACAACTGGAACAACACATCAACAGAGAACTGCCAGATGTGCAAGCTGGGTTTAGAAGAGGCCACAGTACTAGGGATATTATAGCTAATGTTAGATGGATCTTGGCTGAAAGCAGAGAGTACCAGAGTAATGTTTATTTGTGTTGCCCTGACTATGCATTTCATTTGACTGTGTGGATCACAACAAACTGTAGCTAACACTGAGAAGAATGGGAATCCGAGAAAACTTGACTGTGCTTATGCAAAACTTAAACTTGGACCAGGAGGCAGTCATCAACACAGAGCAAGGAAACACCGTATGATTCAAATGACAAAAGGTGTACACCAGGAATGCATCCTATCTCCATACCTTTTCAATCTATATGCAAAACAGATCATTTGGGAGGCTGAGCTCTAGGAGGTGGAATGTGGCATCAGGATTGGTAGGAGACTCATCAACAACCTGTGTTATATAGATGGCACACCTTGCTTGCCAAAACAGAGCAATAATGTTAGTCTAGAGACTAAAGTGTGCCTGATCCTGGCCATGTTCTTCACAATTACTTGCTATGCATCAGAAAGCTGGACAATGACTAAGGATGATAGAAAAAAGAATTGATGCTTTTGAGTTGTAATGCTGGAGAAGAATATTGAATATATCATAGACTTCTAGGAGAACAAACAGGTTCATACTGTAGAGGGTAAAATCAGGCTGCTCTTTGAAGGCAAGGATTCTGAAGCTTTGTCTGACATACTTTTGGCATGCTGGAAGGAAGGACTGGACATGTTGCAAAGAGTAACCAGTCCTTGGAGAGGGACGTCATGCTTGGGAGGGTGGAGGGACAGCATGAGAGAGGGAGAACCTCGATGAGACGGACTGATTCAGGGACTGGGGTAAAGGAAATGAATATGTCAGAGATGATGAGGTTGGCTCAGGATAGAGTAGGATTTAGAGCTCCTGTATATAGGGTTGCTATGAGTCACAAGCGACTTAATGGCACTTAACGATTACAACTACAAGGATAACATTAAGATTTTGTGTTTGTCTTCATGGAACTTTTGTATGTGGTCCTTCCAGACTGAAAATTCTATGGTCCAGTTATGTAAGTCCTCTGTCCATAAATGTCTTTGTTAAGAGTAAATGAACTATCCGTCTTAAGCAATTTTGAATCATGCTAAAGCTAAGAGCATATCCCAGTTATATCTGTAGATGTTCCTAGGGTAAAAGATAAAAGATGATTAAAACTCAATGCTTAAATAACATACAATTGTTTAGGAGAAAATGACTACTAACTGGGAATTAAAATATTGTGAGAGAAAGAAATGAAGCAAGTGTGGCAAAATGTTGACAAATGCTGAATTCAAAGGAATATGGTATTCATTATCCATTCTTTTCATTTTGTTGTTTTTGCTCTTTTGGCACTCCATGGTATATTATACCAGGAAGAGAACAAACCTATCTCTGTGGGAGTAAGTGCAGTCAGAGTGCTCCTTAGAGGCAAGAATGATTAAGGCATGGTTTCATGTAAGTTGAAAAGTTGTTAGGCCCTGGAAAAGGACTTTATGCTGAGAAAGGCAGTGGGGGAAGAGGAGAGGAAAACCCTCAGTAAGACTTCTTATCACTAGGCCATCAGAGTTTGGAAAATATACATATAATTCAGTTTAATTTAAAAAAAATAATAAATTCGGTTTCAGGTTTAAACTGGAACATGAAATTCTTTAAAATAAATTCATAAAAGTGGAAGACTTACCTGTTCTTCTCTTTTCTGCTTCCGTAACTGAAGTCCTTCTTCCTCCCTTCTTCTACGCATTTCATCAGGATTCAGAGACTTGTTCTTGTAACTTTTCAGGCGAAAGTTCTCTTTTCCTGGGGTGGTCATGATTGCTACAAGGTTAAAACAAGTAAGATTAACTGTAAAGAGCTCTGCTATTCTAAAAAAACTCACCATTTTAAAAGTACATATGCTGAACCCCACAGGGACCCAGGAATGCTCACTTTTTAAAATATAATGATTTTATCGATACATAATTCATATAATTCTCTAATTTAAAGTGTGCAATCAGACTGCCAATATACTAATAAGCATAACCAACATCACAATCAATTTTCTAACATTTAACCTTCTCAAAAAGAAACACCGCATTTTTCAGCTATCACCTCCTTATGTTTATGCATTTCCCCAGTTCTAGTAACTACTAATCAAATTCTCTCTACAGATTTGCATAGTCTAAACAGTTCATAAAAATATCATTTTAAAATATGTGGCCCTTGATGATTGGCTTCTCCTGGCATAATATTTCACATACTGTTTCGTTTCTATTATGTCATTTATTCTTTTTTAATAAACAAATGTTCTTGTAAAAATGTATTTACATATTTTGTTTATTCATTCAACAGGTAATAGACATTTTGGATTGCTTTTATTTGAACTATTATGAATAATGCTACTATAAAAAAATTCATGAACAAATATGTGTGTGTTTGTTTTAATTTCTACTGGCTATTTATTTTGGAATGAAACTGAGTCACATGGTAAACCTATTCATTTTATTCAAGAAATTCTAGATTGCTTTCCAAAGTAGTTATACCATTTTACTTTCACCAGGGTATGAAAGCTACAGTTTCTCCCACGTCTTCCCCAACACATAGTAGTATCTGTTTGTCTGACTTTGATTCTAGTCATCCCAGTGGTGTGGTGTGAAGTGGTTATCTCTATATAGTCTATACATTTCCCTAGGGAGCTGTAGTGGCCTAGTGGATAGGGAGCTGAGCTGCCAACACAAAAAGGTTGAAGCTCAAATCCTACCAGTGACTCCTAGACTGAAGAATGGCAAATCTCCTCCCAAATGAGTCACAGTCTGAAAAACTGCTGGAGGGTCAGCTATGACCCTTATTTTGGAGGAAGTACAGCCAAATAGCTCCTCAGAGGCAAGAATGGTGAGACTTTATCTCACATACTTTGTGCAAGTTGTCAGGAAAGACAACTTGGAAAAAGACTTCATGCTCAGAAAGGTGTAGGGTCAAAGAACAAGAGAGAACTCTGAAGGAGATGGACTCTAACAACTGGTTGAAATGTCAGGATGGCCAAGAATGGGGCCCTGTTTTGACATGTTCACAGGGTCACTGGAAGATGTAGCTGACCGCACCTAAAAACACTTCGAAAGTGATCTACTGATACAATGTGCAATTCTATTTTCAAAGAGAAGGAAAAGTAATCACTGATTTCACACACACACACACACACACGGTTTCAAAAAAAATGAAAGCACTACTAAAGGAGGAAAAGGAAGCCTTATATAGTAATCAAAACCACTTAATACTAGTACAGCTACCAGTACATAAACCAATGGAACAAAAATTGAGAATGCGGTCGTAAACCTTTCCATCCATTGGCAGCTGACCTTTGACAAAAAGATGAAATGGTGCTGGCCAAACAGGTTATCTCTCTGTAGAAAAACAGAAACAAGATCCTTATCTTTCTTACACAATACTAACTCAAAAACTAACTCAAGGACCTAGGCATGTAACTGGAAAAAAGATGTTCTGCTGTCTGTCACTACAAAGCCAACTGTGGAGAGACAAGGATCAAATCCTTTAAATCTGCTTTATTCAAATATATGTGATCCAAAAGGGTGGTATGTATTGGACCTTGAAGACTGTTCTAACTCCAAGATAAAGCTAGGGTTTTTAAAGGAGGTGATCCAAAGGAGTAGATAAGGGAAAAAGAATGTGTGTATATAAGGGTTAAAAGAAATGTGGAATGTCAGGGAAGAGTCCTGATGTCTTATATGACTGCTCCATAATCTCCTTATCTCAAGATGGTTACAGATATCCTCAGCCTTATTTTCAAAGACTTCCTTGCAAATGATAAATATTTTCTATGATTGATCTCTCAAATTTTTATGCTAGAGTGACCCAATAAATCCTTAGTTTGCAGAATAATAACATCACTAAGTCATTACTTAACACTTATTACTTATTCACTAATCAAACTTTCATGAATGAACCTTACAAAGGCACCTATTCACTACTGAATAAACTTATGAACTATGGTTGATCTCCTAACATGCCCCAATGTTAGTATTGCTGTTGTTATGTGCCATGACTCACAGGAACCTATGTGCAATGGCTCTGAACTCTGTTCCATCCTGAGCCAATCTCCTTGTCTCTGACATACCTACTCCCATTACCCAACTTATGGTGTCAATCCATCTCATCCAGGGTCTTCCTATCCTGCACTGACTCTCCACCTTTCCAGCATCATGTCCTTCTCCAAGGACTGCTCCCTCCTAGCCATGTGCCCAAAGTGTGTGACATGGAGCTTCAAAATCTTTGCCTCCAAGGAACAACCTGGTTTCTCCCTCTCCACTGCAGACCTGTTATTACTCTTGGCAGTCCATGGTACCTTTAGTATTCTTCTCCAGCACCACAACTCAAAGGCATATAGATTCTTCTATCTTCCTTATTCATTGTCCAGCTCTCCGATGCATAGCAAGTAATTGCTAAGACCGTGGCTTGGATCAAGTGCATCTTAATCTCTAGACATCTTAATCACTCCTCAGTACTCTGGAGGGTGTCTGACAGCAGACTTTCCCAAAGCAATTGTCTTTTAACTATCTTATTTTTATAAGTGGGCGTTCTAGTGTTTTAGTGGTGAGAAACTGTGCTGCCAACCCAAAGGTATATGGTCTGAATCCACCAGCTACTTTGTGGGAGAAAGATGGGCCATCCACTCCCATGCAATTTATGATCTCTGAAAAACAGTTGTGTGGTTTAGTTTTAAGTTGATTCTGCCTCAACTGTGTACAACAAAAATTACATTAAAAATAAATTTGTTTCATATGAAAATTATCAGCATGCTGTTTTGCAATGTTTTGAGGGTTGAATGTGGCTTGCACTATTCAAAGACTGAAAGAGGAATACACTCAAGTCACTATGATAAAATAAACTGGAGAAAAAACTGCCTTTTGTAGGCTTACAAATCTTGTGAGCCATGAGAAGAGCTTGTGTCTTGTGCTTTTACCTCTGTTCAAATACCTACAAACATGATCATTCAATTGTTACTATAGCATATAGAATATATTCTTGTTTGGGTGGCAGTCAGAATACCACCTCTTTTTTACAACCTCTGTAGTTCAAGGTTTGTTTTTAGATTCAATAATCTCACTACTAGGTATATATCTCAAAGAAATAAGAGCTGCCACTCAAACCGACATATGTACACCCATGTTCACTGCAGTGTTATTACCAATAGATGAATAGTTAAAGGAGTTATGATATATTAATAAAGGGAGTATAATGTCAAAGAATTAAAAAAATACTGCATTTTCTTTCTTGGAAGAAATTTTGAGGACATAATACTGAGTGGTGTAAGTCAGTAAGAAAAGGGAAACTATTAAGAACCAGGGAAATGTTTACATACATAAAATCACACATAAAACCTGGATGGTTACCAAGAATTGTAAGAAAGGGAAAGGGGAATAAAAATTAAGAAACAGTTTAAAAGTACTTATTATGTTGGGTGAAGGGAAAGGTAATATACAATTAGAAGTTGGTCGGATATAGAAATTAACCGCATTGATTAATTGTAACTAACATGAAGAATACTTAAAGCATTTGCTGCAGATAGTTAAAGAGCTTAAAATATGTACTGAACTGCAATGTCAAGAAAACAAAAATCCTCACCAATGAACCGACAGGCAATATTATGATGACTGCAGAAAGGATTAAGACTGTCAACAACTCCATCTTACTGGAATACACAATCAATACACTTGGTAGTCAGGAGATCAGGAGACACATGACACTGGGGAAATCTGTAGTCAAGGATCTTAGAAAATTATTAAGGAGTAATGATGTCAGTTTGAGAGTTAAGGTGTATGTAATTCAGGTCTTTTCAGTCACTTGCTATGCATGTGAGAGCAGGACAATGAATATGATGACAAATGAAGAATTGATGCCTTTGAATTGTGGTGTCTGAGGAGTGCTGAATATATGATGGACTTTCAACAGCTAACACTGTCTTAGAGAAGGTGCAGCTAGAGTTCTTGGAGACAAAAATGATCGAGCTTTATCTCACATACCTTGGGCATGTTGCTAGAACAGGCTGAATATTCTTTGGAGAGGGACATTAAGCTTGGAAAGATGGAGGGGTGGTGAAAGAGAGGAAGACCCTCAACCAGGTGGGTTGACACAGTGATTAAGGCAATGGGCTTAAGTGGACAGATTGTGAGAATGGCACAGGAAAGGACAGTGTTCAGACTAGTTGTTTATAGGGTCACTATGAGTTGTATACCACCCTAGGTGGTATAGCACTGGTCTGTGCGTTGCTGTACAGAGGTAACTTGTGGTTGCTGTGATGCTGAAGCCTGTGACAGTGATGTGCCAATTGTGGTAATGGGCACCCATGGTGGACAGTGTTGGCTGGAGCTTCCCGACTAAATCAAGCCTGGAAGCAGGAGCAGCATCCACTTCCAAAATGGCTTGCCTCTGGAAACTGTATGTACGAACAGTGCTCAGGCTGTTCGTTCATAGGGTCGCTATGAGTCGTCTACGACTCGACGGCATTAAACAACAACAACAACAACATGAGTTGTATACATTATGATACCTCAATACATCAAATGTTTCAAAAGAGAACTGTGGTGGCCTAGTGTTAAGGAGCTTTGCTGCTGATCCAAAGCCATGTGGTCTGAATACCTTAGCTGCTCTTTGCTCTCTGTGAGAAAAATGGGCAATCACCTTCCATGGAATTTGCAGCCTCTGAAACTGCTGGAGGGTCAGGTAGAGTTCGAATCAGACTTGAGGGCACAAAATGCTATTATAAGGCTGAAACCAAAAAATAAATAAATAAATAAAAATAAGGCTGAAACCAGTGATTCCAC